TTTATAATCATGGGATTTGCATTAAAATATTAACAGTTTAAATTAAAGTACTTGTTCGTTCAATAGAGAGGTTATTTGTGCGAGGAACCTCAACCGATGGTTTAGTATTGAATAACATATCCTATACTTAACAATAGTTTTATTCATATTTTATTATCATCTTTAATATTAATTACACAGTTAGTTAAAGGGATTTTAATTAATATTTTTGTCTATTCAAAATGGTTGTCTTCCGACACAGTACTGCATGTAAACCTTTTTTTTACTTATGGTGAATATTGCCATCTAAGAATACAATACGTTGTTATTTTACGGTTTAATATGAACATGTCTCTAGCGTTTATTAAAATAAAGTGGCGAAAGTAACATAAAACCTGTTTTTATTTGTAAACCCACATTTCATCACAATAATAGCTATTGCTTGCCGTTGTAAGATAAAAGACCCTATACATACACCGAGTGTTTACCCAGAGTTTTATACCCCAAACAGTTGACAGCAATGTCCCACATTGGCGTCATGAACCAACTCGTTATTGGAATTCCGATGTCAAAAAACCGATCCTACGTTTACCAAGCAATACGCGAAATTCTCTTCTTATTGAAACGCACGTTTACTACTTACCAGTATTAAATCAGAAACAACAACTCAGTTGGATGAGATATGTTAAAATATATACTTTAATCATTAACAAGTAATTGTATAAATTTTTGTAATAGGCAAATCATTCTAAAATTTCATACAAAGTATAAAATAGATCAAACGTTATGAAATCTGTTTACAGCCAACTTTTCTATAGCAAATATATTTACTTTTGAAGGCTTACAGAATGTATCTAAGGGGTATGTAATATGAATGGATATTTTATATAATATGCACTCGTAAATAAAGCATAAAGAATGTGTAGTCATAAATAGACGCTGTCATATTGACGCCTCTGGCGCTTCTTTCTTATCAATAACCTACTTAATAAGAATGTCCTATGGCTTATTCATGACAGTATTCTGTAATAAAATCTGTCATTCCGGTGCTTAGATAACATATAAAAATTATTTACATCATACTACACGGAAACGGGTACTTTTCCATCCGTAGGCTGGAAAGTTGCTCTTTGCCATGCCCACACATGGAAAAGTAACGTAATGTACTTTTACCGTGCACTTAGCTGATAACAACGGCCTATTTTATTTTCTGAAATATAAAAATATTATTATTTATTTTATGTCTTAAAGAAATTGTGTTATGAGTAAAAAACGTACAAATTAATTTTTCTGTGTAGTATGATGTAAAGTATCGTACGTTATTCGCCCGGCAATCTTTACCGTACTCGCACGAAATGTCGTGCTCGCACCTTAAAACATCACTTACCGGGCTAGTAACGTAACATATACTACTAGAGTGTACTATTACACTGCTAGAGATCATTTACAACCACAGAGACATTAGTGAGAAAAACATTTGATCTGATATCAGTATCGTACCGGAAAAAGAAAGCATTCGAAAGTTGCAGTTGTAAAAAGTGACATCCAAGGACGCATTACAATATTGAGAGTTTATCGAGAGAGAGAGAGTTTTATAGTCCACATAAAAAATGTTTGTGTAATTAATAAACTAGCCCAGTCACTTATGTTTAAGTCTCTATTTGGCTAGTTAACTATGTATATTGTTTTCCTACAGTCACCTAACAATGTGCATGTTCTCTCAATGATTTGAAAAAGCAAAGAAGCCAATTCGCTCATCAGTGAGACAATGTTAACATTGTCTCACTCTAATTACTTTGTCTCACTCACTCCAGATTTGCAACGTGAAGGCACTAAATAGTGAGCGCAGACATGCGGACAAGGTCATTATGCGCGTAAAATACGTTGGCAGCACTGACTGTAAATCAGCTGGTCAGTTGTTGTACTGTTGTATCATTAAATGTAATATTGAAAGTTCACTTCTGTTTAAAAATATGTCACGTTTCTTTACCAATTTATTTGTTTTATGGTAACTGCAGGAAAAATATAATGTGCAACTCGAGTGCAAAGTGCAATTGCCTCACTCGAGAAACCAATCCTCACTCGCTTCTCTCGAGTGAGTCAATTGCTCCCTTTGCTCACTAGTTGCACAAATAACTATTAACATAGTTTATTCACCCTATAGTACAAATATTTGTTCTAAAAACCGGAGAGATATTTATTATTTCAATTGCAAAAAGTTGGGTCTCTTTCAGTCCTATGTGGACACAATGTTTTATCTAAATTAGATTTTAAAATAACAAAACTAAAAAGGTCTTGTAAATAAAAAAAAAATGAATTAAATGTATTCAGAGCTGATTTGTATGGAGAGTTTGGTTGTCTCCGGGTAATGCTGATTGTGTTAGTCTTGAATATATCAGATCTCGTTAGCAACTGGTGCATAAGCGTAGAATAGACAATCACGGGATATTATCTGCATGCTAAGTATTTCACTGTGATTGCATACTTATACTTATTATAATACAATATGTTTTACTAATCGTAACATGCTTAATGTTTGCAGTTAAGACGAAAAAGGAAATGTGAATATAAAATAAAGAACACAAAAGAGTAGAAAAAGGGTCGACGATGTTAATTTTCCAACCTCAATGAAAATTATATTGTTACAACAAACCTAAAATGTTATATAAAAATATGCTTTTGTTGATTAACACATATGTATTGTTATTAACATGTATTGACACTAGAACCCTAATACAGTACCCTCTACCCTAATAAATTAGCATTGCAAGTAGGTGTTTTAACATGGATCAAATAATGTTTTAATCTAAAGTGGCTAAGTTTGTCAAAGGACACTTAGACTAACTTTGAAAGTAAAAATTTATATTATTACATGTTTTTTGCGCTTTTCATCTAGATATGGGTTACAAAAATAATAATTCAGTGCAGAACAATCTTAGTCTATCCATAAAGTTTACTAAAACAAGAAGTTCAGTACATTTTAGTAAATTTCGTTTTCATTGTGACTAATGTATTGCTAAAGGATATAGACATATTTATATGGACCAATTTATTTATTATATTAGTAGGAGATTAAAACGAAACCTCTTAAATATCAATACAGATTGAATTTATAAAGCCAGTATACAGCAAACAATTTTAATCAGAATGGAAATATGCAATCACTTAATAACTTCTCTATAAAATTAATCTAAGCATATACATATTTTGTTTAATTTTTTATAAATTAGTTTTTACTACATAATATTTCAACCTAAACTTAAAAAAGGTTTACAATAACATGTGCCTTGAACATTATCCAGAACGATATAGTTGCCATACTAATAATAAAATGTAAAATAAACACTGCAATATATATGTATCAGTCAGCCGCAATATTGAGCAAATAACGAGCTTAATGACGATAGGAACAAACATAGCAGTGTATTGACCGCATGCTAGGGGCTGAGACCAGTAAATGGGCGTTGTTAAACAATATAACTACGTTAATTGATGTAGGTGTTTTACTTGCTATCTGTTACATACTAACTGCTAAATTACTACTAAACTTTGATTATTTTGTAAACCGTAGACGATAAAATAATATAATGTAACAGTATTTTTTTACATTTGGTGCCGAAACCCGACTTTATCATGTCAATAAGGAGGTCAGAGAGGGAAAGACACCCTCCAGACAGATATACTCCAGCAATTGGGAATAACAACGACAAAACTGTTAATCCAAAGCCAAGTAATGACCAACCATCAGTATCTGCCAAATCTAGTACTTCTTCTAGTAGACGACGATTAATGGAAGTGGAGTTGAAGAAGCTGGAAGAAATACAGAAATTGGAAAGAGCCCATGAGGAAAGAGAAATGGAGCGACAATGACAAGTTGAAGAAATGGAGCGACAACGACAACGACAAGTTGAAGAAATGGAGCGACAACGACGAATGGAAGCTAGAGAACTAGAACGACAGAAGCAACTGCTGACAGCGAGAGCTGAGCTTGAGCCTGCTTCAGTGTGTGGCAGTCAACAGTCAAGCCGCCCTAATAATCGATCTGAAACCAAGGTAGGACTTAGCATAAATCTTGATGATGAGGAAGAACCGCAAAGCAAGGTTGAAAGGTGGTTGAATGAAAAAGAACCGACAGTTCTTAAGTCCTCATCAGCCATCATGACCTCAGCCGTGCAAAAGCTTGCGGATACCTTCCAAAAAGCTATACAGCCTGTTTCATTTCGTCAAAAACTTCCAAGCTTCAGTGGCAAGCCTGATATTTTTTTCGGCGTATGAAATATCTTTTTAGTGAGGATGACAACCTCATAAGAGTAAGGAATTGCCTAGAGGGAGAAGCATTTAGAATGGTTAAGCCTCTTTTTGTCTCAAGTCAAAATCTTAAGTCAATTATCAAGACCTTACAGATGCGTTTTGGTAGACCAGAACTCATTTTGGAGTCAATGTTAAAAAAAACTCGTAGGCTACCTTCTATCAAGGAAGACGACACTACAAGTCTTGTTGAGTTTTCGACAAATATTTTGAATTTTACTGCTACAGCAGAGTCATTACATCTAGAAAATTATGTATTAAATCCTTACTTACTAAATGAATGTCTCAACAAACTTCCCTATAGTTTAAAATACAGGTGGGCTGAACATGTAAGTAATAATGCTCTAAGCAGTCCCGACTTGAAGGAGTTTTCCACTTGGTTGGAAAAACAATGCTCAATCCTGAGTATTTACTTTCGTCCTACAGAAGAGAAACTCTGGCAGAAGAAAACTGACATAAAGCCGGTTTATACCAGTTCTACCGAAGACAAACAGTTTAACTGTATGTTTTGTCTCGACAGCCACGAAAGTGAACGAAATATTAAAGACAGACAAGACTTTTAGACTTGACAAAAAATAGATGTGTGTATTTGTTGGACATTATTTTACAATCATAATAATAATTAAACATGTGTTAGTTCAATTAAAATAAAGAAGGCAGGCATAAATTAAACATATTAAAGAACACTAATCAATGAGTCAATATGAAATATATTACATGTTTTCCCCTCCAACGGTAAGGACTGCAACTTTAGTCAGAGGCCGGCGATAAGTTCCTTTTGATGTTGTTATGTCTACTATTCGTACTTGGCCATCATGACCTGGGTAGACAGCCGAGATTCGGCCAAGGGGCCAAGTATTTCTTGGGCAGTTTTCCTCAATTATTATTGCAAGATCGTCAATCTTTGGTGGGTCCAATTTCTTGTGCCATTTGCACCGTCTTGAAAGGCATGGAAGGTACTCGTGCACCCATCTCTTCCAGAAGCCGTCTAGGAGTAATTTAACACGAGCTAATTGTCGTTTACACAGTTGGTCTTCGTTTAGGTTGATTTTGTAAGCTTCTCTTAGAAAATGGTTTGGTGTGATTGGTTCGGGGTCATTGGGATCCAGAGAAACATGAGTGAGTGGGCGAGAATTTATTATAAATTCAACGCGAACCATGAAAGTCTGAAGCTCTTCGTCTTTTGGGTACTGGCAGCGCATAACACTCCTTAATGCGGTCTTTACAGACCTAACAAGTCTTTCCCAGCAGCCTCCCATATGTGGTGCTCGCGGGCAAATGAAATTCCACTTTATCCCGTAGTTCACCACGTCTTTTTGGATCTTTTCATGTTTGAGTGACTTTACAGCGTTTCTAAGTTCCCTATCTGCAGCTACAAAGTTTGTGCCATTGTCGGAATATAGTTCTGAGGGAACTGGTCTTCGGCTGATGAATCGTTGAATCGCCATTATACAACTCTCTGTGTTAAGAGAATGAGCCGTTTCGATGTGAATTGCTCGAGTGGATAAACAGGTAAATAGCACACCATATCTTTTTTCATGTCTGCGGCCAACAGTAACTTCGATAGGTCCGAAATAATCCACTCCAGTGTAGAAGAATGGATGTTGCACTTTTGAGGTCCTTAACTGTGGTAGTGCAGCCATCTGAGGAGGATAAGGTTTGGCATTGTCTATGCTACACCTCATGCAGCTCCTTTGAACTTTCTTGGCGACTGATCGTACGTTTAAGATCCAGAAGTGTTGTCTAGTCATATTGATAACAGTCTCGATGCCCTGATGGAAACATTTCTCGTGAAACATTTTTACGATTAGTTTAGCCGTATGACTTTTGCCGTATAAAATGATAGGATGCTTTTGTTCTTCGCTTATTTCTGGTGAACTATGTATTCTACTCGACATTCTTATTAGAGACTGATCAATGAAGGGATTTAAAGAGAATATTCTACTGGACTTTGGTAGCGGTTTGCTATTCAGCAGTAAATTCTTTTCTTCATTGAAGCTTGCCTTTTGAGACATTGATATCAAGTTCTGTTCAGCTTTTTGAATTTCCTCTGGTTGAAGTTCTGGTATATTTCCAAAATCTACGTTGACCGTTTTCAGTTTCTTTTTGGTGGTGGTGGTAGTATGGGACCTTAGCATGCTAACAAATCTGTGTACCCATGCTAATACACGTGTCACTTTTTCCCAAGAAGAAAAGTTTTCAACTGTCAGAAGAGGAGGGGTTTCATCACTGTTCACAACTCCGACGAATTTCTTCTTTCTTTCTTCATTTTCCTTGACTTTGTACGGTTTGGACGGTTGTATTGGCCAGTCACTAGATTCTCGCATTAGAAATGAGGGTCCGTGAATCCATTCAGAATGCATGGCTGATGTAAACTTTTTGTTACTTCTAGTTGCAACATCTGCCGGATTCTGTTTTGATGGAACCCATCTCCATTCTTCAGGTTTAAACAAATCTTGAATTTCTCCAATTCTATTGGAAACATACTGTTTGAATTGTCTAGGGTCGGATTTCAGCCAGTGCAAAACTGTTACAGAATCTGACCAAAATATCTGACGAGAAATAGTTAAGTCAATGTCTTTTATGATGCTACAAGCTATTCTGCATCCAAGAACAGCAGCTTGGAGTTCTAGTCGGGGAATGGTTGTTTGTTTGAGTGGTGCTACGTTGGCACGTGCCATAACAAGCATGGTCTTGTAAGTACCTCTGGCACATCCAAGGCGTAGATATGAAACTGCTGCATAGGCCTCTTCACTAGCATCAACAAACGTATGGAGTTCAACTTCTTCAATTGTTTTGACGTTAAAATAGCATCGAGGTATGGTGAAGCTCTGCAGACATTTTACTTCTTGTAACCAGTCTTGCCATTTTTTACTAAGTTCTATCGAAAGAACTTCGTCCCACGTTATGTTTGTTCGCCAAATGTCCTGAACAAGCATTCTCCCTTTTATAGTAGTAGGTACAACTAATCCCAATGGATCAAAAATGGACATAGCTCCTCTTAAATAATATCATGAAGTTTTTCACTTTCAAAAGACGTTAAAGTGAATTGACTATCTACTCGCCCAATGTGTTCATGACATTTACCGTGCAATGTCCAGCCTAAACGGCTCCAAGACAAGACTGGAGAGTTGGGAGGACCTTCAATTATTTTCCTTGCTAGAATAAGGTCACAGTTGTCTTGACCTATAAGTATTGTAGGTTTCAAATTTGCTGACGGTAAAGGTTGAACAATTGACCGTAAGTGAGACCACTTCTTTTTCAGTTTGACAGTATCCACCATTTGTTTTGGTAAGTCCAATGGTGACTGGGTTCGTACATTGTTTAATGTAAATACTTCGTCCTCATATAACCCTTTAATTTTAACTTTCACAGTCATGGATGTTGGGTCGAAATGTTGGGTTGCATTGGACCAGCATGTCGTGAGGGGTTCAATACTACCGTTGACGCCTAATTTATCGGCTGTAGCTGAATCCAACAAAGATACTGTTGACCCGTCATCTAAGAGTGCGTAAGTGTCGATCTGACAACTTCGGCCATATAATGTCACTGGACATACTCTTAGTAGAACACGGTTATTAACAACATGACTGCTAATAATTTCTTTATTTTGCGGTTCGCTGTCCTGTTTGGGAAACCTCTCAATTTTGTCAGTATGGAGGAGACGATGGTGAAACAACCTGCACCCATTTATCCCACAAACCTTTTTTACTTTACATTTTTGGAGCTGGTGACGTCGAAAGCAGAAGAAACATAGTTTCTTTTCGACAATCATTTTCCATCTCTGCGAGTGGAATTTCATTTGCCCGCGAGCACCACATATGGGAAGCTGCTGGGAAAGACTTGTTAGGTCTGTAAAGACCGCATTAAGGAGTGTTATGCGCTGCCAGTACCCAAAAGACGAAGAGCTTCAGACATTCATGGTTCGCGTTGAATTTATAATAAATTCTCGCCCACTCACACGTTTCTCTGGATCCCAATGACCCCGAACCAATCACACCAAACCATTTTCTAAGAGAAGCTTACAAAATCAACCTAAACGAAGACCAACTGTGTAAACGACAATTAGCTCGTGTTAGATCACTCCTAGACAGCTTCTGGAAGAGATGGGTGCATGAGTACCTTCCATGCCTTTCAAGACGGTGCAAATGGCACAAGAAATTGGACCCACCAAAGATTGACGATCTTGTAATAATAATTGAGGAAAACTGTCCAAGAAATACTTGGCCCCTTGGCCGAATCTCGGCTGTCTACCCAGGTCATGATGGCCAAGTACGAATAGTAGACATAACAACATCAAAAGGAACTTATCGCCGGCCTCTGACTAAAGTTGCAGTCCTTACCGTTGGAGGGGAAAACATGTAATATGTTTCATATTGACTCATTGATTAGTGTTCTTTAATATGTTTAATTTATGCCTGCCTTCTTTATTTTAATTGAACTAACACATGTTTAATTATTATTATGATTGTATATAATGTCCAACAAATATACACATCTATTTTTTGTCAAGTCTAAAAGTCTTGTCTGTCTTTAATATTTTTTTACAAACAGTGTTGTAATAAAATTGACTATTTTAGTCGTTATACTTCAAGCTGGAAATTGTATATGTCAAAAATAAACTGATAAAACAATCGATGGCTAAAATTATCTTTATTTCAGCAACGCCAAAACGTGTTTTCTTTTAAGCGAAGTTGTACCATGATACCTACTAGATTGTCACTGGGTTTATATGGCATTGTTTTAAGTACACAAGTGCAAATGTAAGGTATTAAACTATGACTTTAAAATGGCAATCTAGCTCGTTAAACGAGTTGTGTAACCGTAACCTATATAACCTTAAGCACACAAAAACAATAATCAGCCGTGAGCAATAATTTCCCTGAATTTGACAGATTTGTTAACTTGTTTGATTTTAGTGTTTTATCAAATTAAACTTTGGAATGCGGGCAAACATTAAAATCAAACATAGGGATTCATGATGCTACTAATACCTACAAAAGTCTTGGGTCCCTTGCATGTGTTAAGGGATGTCTCAAGCAGACACAAATGGCACACCAAGGACCTAAGATAGTCCTCCTAGAGCGGTAGGGACAGTAGATTGGCAGATCATTTAAATGTTTTATTATTTGAATGGACGAACGGTAGTGTGCGTCTGGTCGTGACGCCGGCGCCGGTCAGTGTGTGAAAGCCTGCTTCGTCTGTATGCCGTCAAAAGCGATGGTAGGCCTAACTCCATAAATAAATAAAAAATTGATTCTTAACACATATGTATGAAGAGTAAACTTACAAACTTAATTACGAGTCTAATTTGCTTTTTGGTTAGGATTTTGCAACTGTATTTTGTTTTTTTTTAAGAAGGCGAAGTAGCTACCTGGAAATTATTGTCAACAGTTAAATGTTTTTTGCTTATTATTTAACTTTTATTTCACCAACTTGCCAATTTCTTCAAAATAATGGATATTGCAAATGTTTTAGAAAATACAGTTCATGGATCTTCTAGATTACACATTTTTAATTAGGATAGTTAAAAATCTAGGCTTGTATGGTTTAAAATTAATATATAATTTATTGACTGGTACGCAAAGTTTGTAGCGTAATAACAAGAATTCAATTTTTAATTTAGTGATACCTCCTGTAATATTATGTTTCCTACAGTCCCCCGACAAAGTTGGCTTCCTTGTACTGTTTATAGTACAGAAAGCTGCTAATTCCTGCATATTTATACTTTGCCGTACGGTTTATACTTTGTCGTACGGTTTATACTTTGCCGCACATCAGGATTCCAACTGAACAACACAAAACAGCGTGGTTCTATTATGCACGTAATCCGTTTACGCTTAGAAATAGGTTGGCAACACTTAAAGATAATCCTACTATGAGCAGCTGATTGACTATTATAACTACGATTTAACCTGTCATTTCGTGTTTATAGTTTCGGTATTTCTGAACTTTCTGGACTTTTCTTTTAAACGTTTTTAAAACATTCCTACGATCTTAATAAACAAGAAAATACCTTCAAAAAATTTTTTTAGGCGCGGAAACCACTTCAAATTACAAAAACATACGGAACTATATTTTCAAAACGCGGAGCACATTTCTTGCCGAGGAAAAATAGCGGAGTACATACAGTTACATAGTAGTAGCGGAGTACATAGTAGTTATGTACATCTGTGACACCATTCAATACTCCATACAATAGAACAATAAGACAAGAGCAGAAATTCATCAACACAACACAAGGAAGAAAGAAGATATAGACCTCCCTTACAAAAGACTAAAGAAGGCACAGGACCAACCCTTGTATACTGGCACAAAATTCTATAACCACCTTCCCCAAAACATCAAATCCCTAAAACCTAACAAAACCAAATTCAAGCAAACCCTAACAAATCATCTCACACAAAATCCATGCTACACCAAACAAGAATTTTACACCATCAACAAAAACAGATAGACTCACACATACACCAAACCAAGAACCCAGGTCAAACTTTGACCAACAATAAACTTCCTAGGGCCTTGCCCAAAGAAGAAGACGTACCCCCTGTCTTAAGGAGAGTGGCGGTGAAGAAGAAGGTAAAGGTAAAGGTAAAGGAGTGATACGGACCGCGGGCACTACTTTCTCTAGAGCTAGAGCACCATTTGTGTTGCCAGCTGAACCTAAAACCGTGTTGTATAGTGTTTGAAATACTAATTATTTATATGCTTTATAGTGACTGTAAGAAAAATATAATGTGTAACACGAGTGAAAAAGGCCTTTGCTGCACTCGAGATCATTCCGCACGAGCCGCGTGTGCAGCAAAGTGCCACTTTCACCACTAGTTACACAAATAACTATATAATTTACAAGGATTATTAAAACAATAAAGTTATTTCCTACTGAAATGCTATTGATAGAAAACCACTGTCCATCTAATCAAAGTGTTTTTGTACATAATTTAGATGTTTATTTAACTAGCCAAAGTTAATTTACTATATCAGATTATAAAATATTAAAAGTACATACTATGCAATACATTATTTATTAATTACTCATGTTGGTCTAATTTTATAAAAATATAAACCCTTAGGCTTTAACTTATAAACTATATAAACTGTAGGACTTCAGTTTTTGTACAACCTTATATTTGCTTAGTGAACCAATAAAGTGACATTTTAATATCAAAGAAAAACATTGTAATAATAATAAAACCCAATTTCTTGTCTTTTATTTATATTTGTTAGGCTATTTATAGTCTTCATAGAGCTAAATAACTGGCTGTTACTATTTCACCTGTAAAGCAACTCGACGTTTCTTCGAAACTGTGCTTTGAAAGATTATTAAACAATGCTGTTTGTTTATTCTCAAGCAAACAGTTGATAAAAGAGAAAGTACCACATAGATATAAAACGCCCCTTGGTTACCCACCGTTGTTTGAACAAATGTCAGTGAACTCCAATAACATGACGCAAATACTGCGTCAACTACTTTCAATAATTTTAGTTTATTTGTTACATTGAATTTCATAGTTTCCTCTTACCTTCGTTAATTTTCTTATTATACACAGTAGTTGTCAAATTTTCGCTACTGCTGCCATTTTGGAAAATGGTGACAATTTTTTTATGAATAGGATCATTATTTTGTGATATTTTTTCAAATGCAGATACGATATCAAGGCTTGTTTACTCGCAACGTCTTTGGTCAAATTATTCCATTTACCTCTAGAATTCTCGTTAATGACAAATATTGTAGCTGTAAAATCTCAATCAGGTGATGATAGTACCCGTCTGGTAAATGTATTTTTTAGACCAATTTGGGTTCGTTACTGAAATTTATTTTAAAATGCTAACTAAAACATATTTGAATAGGCTAACCTTATTCTAATGGGGATCTAATTTCTTATCATAAATTGTATTTTTATTATGATAAATTAAGCATTTATGAGGGAATATTAAC